CTGAACACCGAAATATAAAGCCAATTTAGCAACTGATTCAATTTGAGCAATGGCATCTTTTACTTGCTTCCCAACTTCTCCACGCGCCTTAAGAAGAATGCCTAAAACAGTACTATTTATTAATTAGAATGCGTTATAATTTATATTTGACATATTCGTTGCTAAACTCAAGTGCTTTCAAAACATAGTTCTTACTTGGTAGAAATCTGACAATCGCTTCCAATTATTGTTTCCGAATCAATGAAATCTAATAAATTCAAATTGCTCGACCTTATTCCCAGGCCGCATAGAAACATTTGAACTGAATATTTATTAATTTTATTTCCCTGAAAATAATATTTCAGAATCAGATAAAAATAGTGAAAATAATAAAAAAATCAGCGACAAACAACTTATTAAGTTCCCATAGGGTAAGTCATAGTGATCTCAAAAAAATCGAAAATAATTTTTTTGTATATATTTTTACCTTGTGTGTATGTATGTGCGGATACAATTCATCGACGATTTCAAGAACACGGATTAAATTGAAGTTATGATAATATAGTGATCAGCGTTATATTACATTTTACAAATCTGGATAATTTATAACGAAGTTTGTGTATTCTCTAAGAACAACATAAATCTAATAAATAAAGCACAAAAAATCCAAATGATTAATTTTGATTTATAGAAATTCAAAAGTGCGTTTGATAATGATAATGTTTAATTAAGTTCATTGTATTGGTTGTGTTTGAGTATAATTTAAACTAGTTGGTATTGGTATTTTGCCTTGAGGCAAGTTACATGAACTTCCCGATTTGTGTAAATAATCGACTTAATCCATGATAGATAAATTAATTTATGAGTAGTTAAAAGTATTCGAAGTGGATTTATTACACATAATTAAAAATCGAACACGTCAACACGGTCGGAATATTTTTCAAAAGCAAATTTTAACTTTTTGGTATTTGCTATTTAACCTTGAGGCAAGTTACATGAACTTCCCGATATGTGAAAATAATCGATTTAATCAATAATAAACAAATTAATTTACGAGTGATTAGAAGTATTCCGAGAGGATTTATTACACCTAATTTAAAACGAACGAACACGTTAAGTTCGGAGTATTTTCTAAAAGCAAATTTTTGCAAATCAATAATTTTTATAATTGATCCAATTATCGTAGGACGTTGATGGGTTAGTATTCATTAAGCATCATTAAGACCAAGTAATCTATCGTTATACCAAGTAAATCATCTAATTTTAATTTTAACAAGCGTCAACGAAACTACTCATTTTCTCAAACTTTGATGATTTTTTAAAATTAAACTATTTGTCGTAAGGCCGTAATATTTCAAATATTACGGCTATAAGACCATGATATACATCGTCAAAAAAAGTTTCATGAAAATCGGCTTCATTTTTTTTTCAACAGTTAATTACAAGAAGACGGCTCGATAGATTTTCATCTAAAACTAATCAGTATTATTCCCAACTAATATATCTTTCGAACAGTTTTTGATTTTTTAAAATCGATTCGGTAGAATGAGCTTAAATGTGGACGAAAAGTTTAACACTCTTTTTCAAATTACAAAGAAACGGCTCGGCAGATCGTCACAAAACTGATAAACTATAGTGCTCATTGAGATATATCGAATGGATTTAAATTTCTGGAATCGGTTCAGGCGTTTTTGAGCAAACGTCGATGAAAGGTCTAATTTTGATAAATGCCAAAAAAACGGTACCAATTTTTGCAAACTTTGACGAATTTTTAATGCTAAACGAGTTGTCGTAGGGCGGTAATATTTTATTATGATCTAGAAGATTATGATATCTACCGTCACAAAAAAATCATAAAAATCGTCGAATTTTGTTTAAAAAAACTTTATTACAAGAAAACGGCCCGCCCGATCTTCACCAAAAACTAAACAGCACGATTCCCAACCAATATCTTTCGAACGTTTTTTTAATTTTCAGAATCGATTCAGAATTGCGGGCTAAAACATGGACGAAAAATTTTTCACTTTTCTGCTATTTATAAAGAAACGGCTTGGCTGATTGGCGTGAAAAATTGATAAACGCTAGTCCTCATCGCGATACATGGAATGGCTTTTAAATTTTTGAAATCGGTCCAGCCCGTTTTGGAAAAACGTCGATTTACGGCAAAAAATCTGTTCAAATACACGTACACACATACTTTTTCCAAATTTGGTCTCATTCGAGTCAGAATGGCTTGAGAAAACATAAAACTATCAAAACGATTTTTTTGATGACAACAAAGTTTTCCTTCGGGAAGTTAATAAACTTGCAAACAAATTTAATGTTATAATTATCATGAAGGGCAAAAAAAGGAATTATTTGATTTTCATTTAAATGTGGTAAACTTTATGTAATAAATTGTTGAGTATTATTATTTGAAACTAGATGTCCCTACAGACGTTTTTCTGTACCCATGCCTATAATTTTTTATTATAATATACTAATATTTACCGTTTACCTAAAAATAATAATTATTGTTTTTTAAATTACTCTTCACGCCAAAAAGGCATATATACTCGTAATTATATAAAATATATGCTTTGTTCAATTTTATATTTTGTTCTTTTCTTGTGGCAATTTTGTAATTTTGTTGCAATTACATTATTCCCGCGCTCAATCACTAAATCTTTTGACTTAATTTTACATCAGACTTTTATCAGAGTTTATGAAAAGGCTTCATTTTTATTAAAAAAGCAATTTATTTTTATCATGTACGGTCGTGATAATTTTTTTAAATTTTTTTCTTAATTTTACTTTTTGTGCGAAATGGAAAACTACACACAACTCCAAATTTTCATTATTTCAAAATAGTCATTATAGTAGTCCAATCATTTTTTATATAGCCCGGTAATCGCTCAATTAACTACTATTTCTTATGAACGTTTTTAATTGAAATGCAATCAAGATTTTTCTGAGCTTATAAAAATGCTTAAATTTATCCGCTCTATTCGCTGCAACATATCAAAAATGGCAACGAAATGGTTACCTCCGATAAAACTAACTAATTTGCAGGCTTATCCTATCGTACAAATATTTCTCGATGTGCATAAGAAGTGCATGCGACACATTTTTGAATGTGTCGCAAAAGGAGCTATTTCAGCAAAAAAATTATTAATTTAATTTTAAAATCAGGAGATAAAACTGTTTTTAAAAAAAAACTGGAATTATTTTCGGAGTATAACATAATTATAATATGAATTTTAGTATTTTAGCTTTGCAGTGGGTAAATTATCAATGTAATGATATGATTTTCTAAAAATATTTTCTGTAGCTAAACGTTTGCCGGGTCAGCTAGTATATATATATAAATTACATGCGGCACGCCATAAAATTTGAAAATTTAAATTGGCCCGCGAGTTAAAAAGGTTGCTCGCCCTTGATGTAAAGGAATAGCACAAGGCTATTATACTTATGCTCTTATTATTTAATATTTACACTGCAGATTTTCATAATATTCTTCACACACGCATAAAAAAATTGCAATAAGCAGACGATATTTATGTTGACATATCAAGACCCTCTTTAACATGTAAAAATTTGCGAAATCCAGCCTTATATAATACAAGCCAAAACACATGCTAACTTAATAGAAGAATCTATTAAGAATAATCAAATAAAGAATTGGGAATTTGAAAATAGATTAAATTCAAAATGACCCGATCAGCTGCACATATATATATAGATGTGAGGTACAGGGACTGGATGTGCTACACACATTGCTAATCACAAATACAGGAAAAAAATTAAATTGCCGAAATTTGCCTCTATTTTCATAGCGAAACTAATGGCAATATATGTAGCAACAAAATATGTTAGGGACACAAAAATGTAAATAAATCTATCATTTTTAGTGATAACAAATCGAGTCTAATCGCAATAACCAATCCAAGCAAGCATACAAATATATTGATATATATTTTTTGCATAGTTTTATTGTCAATCAAAATAAAATACATTTTTTAAGACAATATGATGTTGGTGTTAATGCATTTAAGAGATTATCCCCTATGAGATATCTCTCTTTCTTTTTATTATTGACATTTTATTTAAGATCGTATGGACATTTTTTTCAATCTTCGTGTGGGATATTCCTCGCTTAACTCTTTTAAATAAATGTTTGGGTGACCTGGTAGTTTTTCGTAGTATTTTTTGCTCCTTTCTTTTATCATCTCATTAATAGTTTTTATTTTTAGGTCTTTATGTAGGGTAACACACCAGGGTGCGTTCACAATGCATCTTAAAATTTTCGATTGCGCTACTTGTATTTTTTTTTATATTTGAATTAACTACTATTTCTTATGAACGTTTTTAATTGAAATGCGATCAAGATTTTTCTGAGCTTATAAAAATGCTTAAATTTATCCGCTCTATTCGCTGCAACATATCAAAAATGGCAACGAAATGGTTACCTCCGATAAAACTAACTAATTTGCAGGCTTATCCTATCGTACAAATATTTCTCGATGTGCATAAGAAGTGCATGCGACACATTTTTGAATGTGTCGCAAAAGGAGCTATTTCAGCAAAAAAATTATTAATTTAATTTTAAAATCAGGAGATAAAACTGTTTTTGAAAAAAAACTGGAATTATTTTCGGAGTTTTTATTTTTAGGTCTTTATGTAGGGTAACACACCAGGGTGCGTTCACAATGCATCTTAAAATTTTCTATTGCGCTACTTGTATTTTTTTTTATATTTGAAATGCTTGCGCACGCCCATAGCTCAATGCCGTATGTCCAGATTGGGATAATTATTGTTTTATATAAAAGGAGTTTGTTTTCATAGCACATATTTGAACTCCTGCCAATTAGCCAATACAACTCTTTGAACTTCTTCTCCATCTGTTTTCTTTTCATTTTGGTGTGCGTTGACCAGCTTAACTTTCTATCGAGATGAATCCCAAGGTATTTTACACTCTCATATTTCGGTATTTCTATGTTGTTTATTTTTACGCTTGGGCAGTCCAGGGTTCTTGTTGGGAAGGTTATATGGCTAGATTTTGTTTCGTTTATTTTAATTTTCCACTTATTGGGCCACTTTTCAAATTCAGAGACATATTGTTGAACTTTTGACGTTGCGACGGATGCATTTGTATGAGTTCCCACGACAACTGTATCATCGGCAAAAGTTCCAATTATTACATTACTATCAATTGGAATGTCGTGTGTATATATGAGATACAATAGTGGGCCTAAAACACTCCCTTGAGAAACCCGCGACTTGATGTTACATAATTCTGATGTTTCTGTTCCAACTCTAGTTCTGAATAATCTGTTTGTTAAGTAACTTTTCAATAGCAAAAATATCT